TTCAACGTGAGCCTCGTTGGTTCACGTTCCACTGGCTGTTCACGTAAACATATCGAGAGATATCTGGCATGATTCTACTTGAACATATTACAAATTGCTTCTATATCTGGAAATGAGGCTATATGTTTCATAGGATACGCCATTGTTTGTCACACTGAACTTTATCGAACTCTATTACGATCTTATGAAAGATTCGCTCTATCTTTCATCTTTCGAAACGCATCGAACTGATTGGAATTGAAATTTTGTAGAAGAGAGTTTGTATAGTGCTAAACATGATCGAATTGAAATCTTAATAAAGAAGAAGGAGAGACACGAAATTTTGTGAAGTGTTAAAAGTAATCAAATTCGAATTTTGTCTGAGATGGAGAAAAAAATATAAAATTTGCAATTTTAAAAAGGTTAGGTTAGGTTAGGTGTATTATCGAAAATAATCGAATTGAAATTTTAGTAAAGGAAAAGGAGAGACACGAAATTTTGTGATACATCAAAAGTAATCAATCTCAAATTTTGTCTGAGAAAGAGAAGAAATACAAAATTTGCAATTTTAAAAAGGTTAGGTTAGGTTAGGTGTATTATCGAAAATAATCGAATTGAAATTTTATTAAAGGGAAGAGAGAGATACGAAATTTTGTGATACATCAAAAGTAATCAATCTCAAATTTTGTCTGAGAAAGAGAAGAAATACAAAATTTGCAATTTTAAAAAGGTTAGGTTAGGTTAGGTGTATTATCGAAAATAATCGAATTGAAATTTTATTAAAGGGAAGAGAGAGATACGAAATTTTGTGATACATCAAAAGTAATCAATCTCAAATTTTGTCTGAGAAAGAGAAGAAATACAAAATTTGCAATTCTAAAAGGTTCGGTTAGGTTAGGTGTATTGTCGTAAATAATCGAATTGAAATTTCAGTAAAGGAAAAGGAGAGACACGAAATTTCGTGATACATCAAAAGTAATCAATCTCAAATTTTGTCTGAGAAAGAGAAGAAATACAAAATTTGCAATTTTAAAAAGGTTAGGTTAGGTTAGGTGTATTATCGAAAATAATCGAATTGAAATTTTATTAAAGGGAAGAGAGAGATACGAAATTTTGTAAAATATTAAAATCGAATTCAAATTCTACCGAGAAAAAGAAAAAATACAAAATTTATAATTCTAAAAAGATTACCACCGTTGTGAAAATTGAAGAAAAAATGAAACATGGAATTTTGATCTACAGAGGAGATGTTAATAATTATCGTTTTACCACGTAATAAAAAAAACTATTTCTTTTGTTACCTCTTTAAGCAGAAGTTTTTGCAAAATGAAGATTTTTAGAAGTGTCTTACACACTTGCCCTCGACTTCCTAATTAAATCTTTAAATACATTAAAACGAGCGACTTAAAAATTGGTTAAAAATTTCAAAAGAAGAAAAGACAGTATATAACACTTTATCAATATTGTAATAAAATTCTAAAGCGTATAAAAATAATTACCAAAAAAAGAAAAATGTTACCTACGAAAGAAGTAATCTTTCTCAGTCCTCCCCTATGTTCTAAATATAGCGCAATTACGCGGCTCATGGATAGTTGTGTAAAATGCGTAGAACAGTGATTCCATAACATCGACGGAGATAACTTTGCGATGAAAAAATCGTGGCTAACGAGGATATCATATCGATTGAAGTATAGTACTCGAACGAATTTTTGAAAAGTTACACCGCTTGTGTGGCGGTGTGATAACGATAAACGCGTGTCTCGGGGGATAATAAAATCGTTTCCGGGAAGTGTGTTGCTTTGATACGTCACCCGAGACAAACCATGTTTCTGTTTTGATCGATGCGCTCTCGCCGTGATATTTTTCTTCTTGCAGTCAAATGTTAAATGATTTGCTGCTTTCAATCTTGATTTTACAAATTTCGAATTTCGGTACTCTAGCAGCTCCGAAATGTTTCGTTAATAATCTCCATTTTGTAAAAACAGCGTGATAATTTTCGATTAATTCCTCTCATTAAAAAGTTAGAAAAAGGTAGTTTTTTATTACATGGTAATATACTATGGCAAAATTTCACAATTTTCTTCTTTTCTTTAATTTTCACAATGGTAGTTTGAATATTTGAATATTAGAAATGGTGAACATTTGAGAGTTTGAATATTTGATAATTTTAATAATAGAAATGTTGAACATTTGAAAGTTCGAATACTTCGAAATTTGAAAATTAGAAATTGTAGATAGAAAATTTGACAATTTTCCATATTTCCAGAAATCTTTTTATTCACACAAGAAGTAGTGGAAAACAATAAGTTCACAGGATTCTGGACAGAATGGATCCAGTTGCATTTCTACTGCGACTGGATTTTTCCACTGGAGCTTGTCCCACAATAAGACAAATAAGAAGGGTCCTTTGAGAGAACAATTAAAGGAAGCCCTAGGGGAAAGCATCAACTACCTGGAAAGGAAATTTTACGAATTTGAAGGGTCTTACACTTGCCTCAATTTACTTTAGGAAATCCCAGGTAAATATTTTGTTGGGCTTTTTATTGATTTATGGCACCCTTTGTTATATATCCTGTCTAGGGAAAATTTACTAGCAATGGAAAGTTCCTACAAGTTCGATGTATTAAGGATTGATTTACATGTAGGATGTTTGAAATTACGATGAACGCTGGAAAAATTGTTTTCTAGTCATTGTGATTGTTATTCATACAGTTGGACAGCGAGACAAGATCGTAAACTAATTGTTCTGCTTATCTGTCTGTCTAGATCAATTAATTCATGTTAATCCGTCAGTTATGTATGAATGCGTATAAATATTCATGTTGACGAATATTTAATTGGAATGATGAGCCTTTAAATTTGATTGATAGTGAGCAGAGTCTGATCTTGAGTTTGGGGGAACCACTATGATGTTTTGTTTTACTATTCTAACATTTAAAATTTCATATATATAAATTTTCAAATATTCAAATATTCAAATTTCTCAAATATTTAATTTCTCAAATATTCAAATTGTCAAATTCCCAATCCTCCACTTTCCACAATCTTCACTTTCCCATTTCCCTAATTTCCAAATTTTCAAATATTTCAAATTTCAAATCCTCCAAATTTCCTATTTCTTCACTTTCCCATTTCCCAATTTCTTACTTTCTTAATTTTCCGCTGTCTCATTTCCTTCCCCAAGGCCCCAAAAAATCACCAATAAACCCGCATCAATGCCATACCTATCAAATACACACATCAAATCTCCCCGTTGCAGACAACAGAAACGGGTGTAATGATTAGCATAAAACGACAGACGCATTATCCGTCGGACGTTTCTGAAACGGTCGACGGAATCAGAGCACGAGAACCGTGACCGTGTTTGTTTCTATCGACAATCTCTTACTAGCTAGTTCTTTCTGTGGCGAATCGGGTCGAACGACGTCATAATCCATTCGAAATGTCTTTTTGTTCACGATAGTTGAGATAATAGTGCGACTCTTCTCGTGTGACACATCGCATTATGACTTTCCTCCTCTTGATCCTCGTCCTATCGATCGACCACGCGCGTACTATTCACGATGACCTTCTCGATGCGATTTCCGATATATTTGTCGTATGTGGCAATGCACTTCCATGAGTCTTTAAATGAATCATCCACTACTATACATTCTTGGATAGGTTCTCTCAATTGTGGATCGCTCCATTCGATCGATAAATGACATACAAAAGTTAACCCTTTGCTCCCAGGACATTTTTTTTGTATAATCTAGCAGCAACTTCAGTACACGTTTACAGTGAAATTTTTGAAAAGCAAAAGTTTCCTTTTGAAAAGAGAAAATTGTAAATGTTTATAAATCTCTTTCTTTTCTTAATTTGCTTAATTTTAACAAATGCATATCATTGCGTAGGATCAATTGTGGAAATTGAAATTTGAAGTCACAATATGGAATAGTTAGTTGAAGATTTGTGAAATACCGAAGAAGAATAAAAGTACCTACATTATTTTGTATGTAAGTTTATATACTATCAAATAAATAGTAGTTAGATTTTATTAATTATAAATATTTTGTATAATAGTATGTTTAATTGTGTTTATGTTAATTAAGGAATTATTTTCCTGTTTATTTTTCCAGATTGAAATATACTTATACTTGTGCATTATTTCATTGAGTTTTAGTTGTGGTTAAAGGGCAAGGATAAGTAATTTGATATCTGATGAGATGAGAATAAGTCGATGAATTAAGTAAAATGTTACCAGAAAATGGATGTTGACAGTAACTACTCGTGTTTCATGGAGTAGTTCAACATAGACAAGTCGAGGAATTTGCATTACTTATTGGCCATGAACTTTATTGGATAAGCCAGTTGTTGTGCAATACGTTAGCATATTGCATGTATAGCCTTCTATTCTATTTATCAAACTTGATCCTTCATGGTTCTTCTATTCGAGAATTCTTTGTTTTACATTTTCTAGTTTCAGTCTCAGACGTTTTGTGAAAAATAGGAAACAAGAATTATGTCACAATTTTCTTCTTATTGCATATTCAAAATCTTTAGGCAAATAAAATAGATACCCTTGCAATAAAAAAATAGTGGACATTTCAAATATAATTTGGTTTCTAGCTTCAGATTACCAATTTTTTTAGGAAATTGTAATATAAGAATTATTTCAGAATTTTCTTTTTAATGTACCTTTCAAATTTTTATGCACATAGAACAAATATTCACGCAGAAAAATATAACAACTCTTATTCCAAATAAAATTATACTTTCAGAATAGTGTAACAATTCTTCCCACTGTACAGGGTGACCAGTTTCAATTTGTCTCAAAGGAAGTTTAAAGGATTTACCAAAGTTTCATAAATATAATATTTACCACTATGAAAGTCTTTACAATAGATCTGCTATGGAAATTTAATTTAATTTATTTAACTGAAATAAATTAAATAAGTTAAATAAATAACTGAAATAAATTGAATAATCATCTATTTCAGATAAATAAATGAAATAAGGCAGAAGCAATAGAGTAAACTTACAGAGAAGAGGATCCAGGCGCTCCTTGAAGCTCTTGTTCCTCTTCATCCTCTCGATGTCGCTCTCGTCCGTCTCCAGTTGCGTCTCCCACTCGGACGAGTCGTAGGTTTGGTCCTTTCTGGTGTCTAAACTCTCCTCCCGTTCGTTTCTCTTCTCGACGTTGTCGTACGAGGAGTTCCTGTCGCTATACAGCGACTCCGACGTGTCCGGTGGTTTCAACAGCTCTGGGTACCTGTTGGACCAATAAAAAGTTTTCAATGACAACGCTGAAATTCATACAAAATAAATCTGAATTCACTTCATTGAATATTGAAGCATCATTGAAGGTAGCAAGAACAAAGAAAAACATAAAAAATAAACTGTCTAGCTTGTATAGGAAGTGATTTATTCAGAGGGATGAAGCTCTTCAATTCAGCTTTCCTCAAATAATTAATTTTTCTAACCATAACTATTAGTTCCATTACAGTATTATACTTTCAGTTCCACTACAATATTAATAATAATAATTAATTATTAACTCAAGATACAATACTGTTCTTACAAAAATCGTTCTACAAAAATCAGTGTTTCCAGCATAGTAAAACATTCTGTATTTTTTTTTCAGTTCCACTAGAATATAATTAATTAATTAATTATTCAAGTACAGTATTATGTCTTGAATCTACAAAAATCAGTGTCTCTAGCATAGTAAGACATTCTGAGAACAGAAGATCAACGTTACAAAGGTTATTCTCATTCAAGCTGCCAATCTTAAACCTTGGAAATTTGATCTTATCATTGCAAATCATGAAGCAATGGTCAGATATTGATTATCACTATCAATGACCAAAAGAAAAAAGAAACATTTCAACAAAGTTTCATTGCTGTACTAAAAACATCAGTTGAAGTAAAAAAGGGTACAAGTAGAATACAACATTAAGAGAGATTAATGGACGATTCAGAAGTTCGTCAGAATTTACATGTGAATTGACTTGTTCTTCTAAACAGGGCGCATTATCATCCCCTATGGATCATCAACATGAACATTCAAACGATGACTGTACATATATGTCGTTGTAGTGAATGGACCTGAAACTTACCGTTGGAGAATGATACTCTGAACGGTCAAAGTGTTCCCAACAACGTCCCTGTGGCACTCCTCGTCCGGAAACTTTCTAGCCACGTTATCGCCCTCGTAATCCGCATCACAGTCGTAGTCTGGCTCGCAATCGTCCCCTTCGTTGCCTGTACAAGAATGTACATGTTATCAGAAACCGTTATCGTCGCCTCTGTGTTCAACTATTCTCTTTGTCGATCCTTTGGGAAACAGACATATCGCTGATTTTCATCCTAGTACGATTCATGGTGATTTGTGAATTGGCGATAACCAATTGGAGACAAGTTTCGTTCCATTGAATATAATTATACTTAGAGATCAGATTATGAAAGTTGCTTGGTCGGAGAGATTTGGCGAGGGAAAAAAATTCATGACACGATTACTTTTCTATTTTTCACTTATACGTGTACAATTACCTTCCTGATTCTCTACCTTTCTAGTTTCCCAATTTCCCAATGTTATGAATTTATAATTTCCCAATCTCTTGATTCTGCAATTCGTTCAATTGATTCATTTTCCTATTTCCTGATTTTCCAATTCTTGAATTTTCTAATTTCTAATTACTTTTTTTCTAATTTTGTAATTTCCCAATTCTCCAATTTTCTCAATTTATAATTTCCCATTTTCCCAATTTTCTGATTTCCCAATTCTCTAATTTTCCATTTCTCCAATTTTTTGAATTTTAAATTCTCCAATTTTCTCAATTTCCAATTCCTCAATTTTCTCAATTTCCAATTCCCCTATTTTCCGATTTTCCACTTTCCTAATTTCTTAGGGTCCCGCGTTTTGTATTTTCCATTTTTTGGCACGAGATAAATTCGTGGCTTGATAGTGGACAATTAGCAGGATGATTTGGCTTATTTTATCGGTGTTACGTGAAGAATCGGTAGGAAGTAATCGACCCTATCTCGATTTAGAATTACGTGTTTTCTAACTTCTATTCAAGTGCTGTTTTCGCTGAAAAATAGTTGATCTTGTCACATGATAATGTGGACAAGTGTTTGTATTTCGTCAAGTGTTTCCCGGCTTACAATCTTTTAAATAATCCATTCAATAAGCCTAGTACTTTCTTATTAAAACTGTACAATCAAAAATGTTCCTCAAAGTAGATATCAAATAAAAATTTAAAATAAAATTATCAGTAATGTAAAAAGAAAAAATAAATAAGTAGAAACTAAGAAATATTCCCTTCAAGATACAGAAAAACCAAACTCTCAAAAACCTTCACTCATCAAACTAACAAAATTACATCCTTAAATTCATCCAATTATTATTCATAAAATAATACAAAGAAAAACAGAAAAAAACATAGCTCACCAATGAACTCCCAGCTGGAATCCACAGCCCAGGAGGTGTCAAACACCTTGGTTCTGATCTTTGGTGGTTGCACCGGTTTAGCGCGTGGGATTTTCTTCACCTCTTTGGTGCCAAGTCTCTTAGCCAAATTATCCACAGAGGAAGAGATCAGAGGCGTTTTATCCTCAGTTTCTTCCGTTTCCTCCCAGTCAATGGGATGAAGTTGATTAGGATTACCGCCTACTGGCGTCTGCAACCATCCAGGCTCGCTATGTCGATATTTATTCGTTGCTGGATTGTTCCTTGGCCGTCTTCTGGGTATTATCGCCACGTTCTGCGCTATGGCGTCCGCTGGTTCCGCGTAGAACGGGCTACCCTGCTTCGATTCCGGCGTCAATGGGCTGTTGCTCTCCGATTTGGCCAACATCAGGCCTAATTTATTCCTGGGAGGTGTCACCGTGCTTGGACTGTTCAAGGAATTCGCGCTGCCTGCTTGGAAGACAGTGAATTCTGCGTTAGAAGTGGCTTATGTGGTTTGAAGGAATGAAATTTCTCAAGAATAACAAACTAAGAATCTCAGTAAGAAAGTAGGAAACCTTGATAGTTGTAGTTTAAGTACAGAAGACTTTGTCTTATCTATCCAAGTAGCGGATTTTGATAGATACAGCTGATGTATTTTACTTTTGCTTTAGCTACAGATTAACAGCGATGATAGAAGTGCAGGGATAAGAAAAACAGGCTTGGTTGATAGTGTGTTATCTACAGTGACAGGTGTAAAGTTGAGGAAAAAGATAGCTTATTTTTGATAGATGGGAAATGTTGGCGAACAGAAAATGGAATTAACTTGTAAGAATTGTACATTCTTCAGAGGAAACTTATACTGACTCTGAACAATATTCAGTAGTACCTATTGACTTTATATAATCAGTATAATATTTATTTTCTTCTGTTTACAATTTTTTTGGTCTCAAATAAAGCAAATATTAGCTTCTGGTATTCGTGTGTTTTCAAAATGATCAAGTTCTCTCTTTTCACAATCTTTCCCCAATCCTTCCACCACTAAACTAATCTCCACAGCAGATTCTTAGATCGTATAGATCATCAAAATCTCCTTATTTTTCACTCTCAACTTAATTTTTCTTTTTTCCCCTCTCTGTCTATGTTATTCCATACGCAAATATGTCCATTTCTGTAGAAACAAATGACTAAATAAATTAAATACTCACAAACTCGAGACAACAGGTCAGGTCTCCTTCCCATCCCGGTCTCCTCCGGCGATCCATTGGTCTGCTCAACAGGCTTCGCCTCTTGGACAGGCTTGAAGCTGCTGAACTCAGGACTGGTCATCTCCTTGTAACTCAGCTTCTCGTTCCCAATCGACTTATCATTTCTAACGATCATTCTGTCGTTCCTCACTATCAGCTGCTCGTTCGTAGGTAGTCGATCGTTATAGTTTCTCTCAGCCGGGTGTAGAGTCCTCTCTGGGACCATCAGCCGATCGTTCGAGTTCCTCAGTCTGTCCTGAGGATTCGCTGGCCCGTCGTTCCTTGCAAGCTTATCATTTGGCGACCAGGTAGAATGATTCGACTGATCTGTCGTGTTCCAAATGTCCTCGTAGTCAGAGATCTTGTCTCCAGGCGAGCTTCGATAATAAGACTCCAGGATGTCCGATTCTTGGTAGTGCTGAGAATTCTTCCTAGCCTCTCTGTCGCGTCTCCGTTTAGATTTGCTCGTGCTGGATGGTGTGGTAGGAGAGAGGACGTTAGGCGTCTTCACGCCTGTGTTGGGGACTAGCTTCGACATGGGGGAGAGCACTGGAGTCGTTGGTGATAAGGGGGACTTTATGGAGAAATTCGACGTCAGAGATTTGTTCGACGTGGCGCTCTGAGGGCTCAGCAGAGAGGTGTTGGGGTCCGATGACGGCGTGTTCTGAAAAGGAGGAACAGGAATTAACGATGAATGGTCGTTTCTTGTTGATTTAGCAAATGTAGTGGATGAAGCTTCACAAAGCAACTTTGGGTAATATTGGAATTATAAAAATTGACAGTGTAAGTGTAGGAATGAGTTAGAGAATAAGAGGACACAGCTTTGTAGAGATATTCTAAGTAACATCTAAGTAACATTCACAGAAAGCTAGATTGTTGCATTTTATCTAATTTGAACCTTTCAGTTTTTAATACAAAATGTATATAGCTAAATACATATTTCAATTTCTAATACATTTATTATTAAGAGAAGTGCTTCTCTGTAACTACTCTTGAAATTATCAGCAACAATATGTCCCCATATTTTAACTTAATTCTGCCATTCCAATATCCCAAATTCTGCAGTGTATCAACTCATCCAAACCTTCTTCCCAAAAACTATTCACCTGTGAACTACTGATGACATCGTTCGTCTGATTCACATTGAACGTTACAGTAGTAGTGACAGTGAAATTATTCTGCGTCTGTCCAATCCCAGGTTTAGCCCATCTAGGTGGTGGTGGTGGAGGAGTCTTCACGTTCTGTCCCATAGAATGATTTTCAGCGATAATGTTCCTAATCTCAGGTAGCACAGGTGACGTGGTACACGAGAGATTATTAAACGTCGACACGTTTTGATGGAAATTCGACGTGGACGTACTGACAGAGGTAAATCTACTCCTGGACAGTTCCAACACCGTTGATTTCGATGTCTCTGCGGCTTTCGCCTCGAAACTGACTTTAGTGTCCTGCACAGGACTCAACACGTTGCTTTCCACGTTGTGCACCACAGGAGATGGACAACGAACGCTTTGTACCAGACCTGGAGAGATCAGTTTTTGGCATAATTTGTCGCTTGATGAGATCTTGTCTTTCTTCAGGTCTAACGGTTCGTTGAACGTTGTTAGGTTCAAGGTGTTTGGCGGTGTTGGCCGTGGTTGACGTAGTAACGACGAGGCGAAGGTGGATGTTGTTACAGCGGCTGTCGGCGACGAGCTTCCTGCGCACGAAAATAAAAGGTGGATGAGGAATTATTTTTGGTGGATGAACGAGAAATTATTTTTGGTTGGGAATCGGTCTCGATGACAACGCGACTGGAGCTTATTTTTGTGATTTGGTAACGATGAAGGACTTGAGTTTTTGCTTAGTATTATTGGAATTGAGATTTGTTTGTTGTCGTGTATTAATTTTGCAGTATTTTAAAGCACCCAAATGTTTAAGTTTCGTTAATTAAATAAGCAATAATTAGAGAATCTTTGTGTTTTTTAAATGTGCATTTTGTTCATTATAATTTTGAAAATTTTTCTGGTTCTTATGGGAAATGAATCATAAATTAAACTCCATTTTGAGCATACCTAATAAAATATAATCTGTTATACTTACACTGTAAACAAATGCAGTTATCGTAATCTACACGATGATAAAACAAACATAATCTCAATTCAATTAAGAAAATCGCGAGTCTTAATTACTCACGTGTATCGTGCGTTGAAATAGGCGCTAGATTCAACACGATACTCTCCGTCGTCGGTGTATGAACATTATTGTTGTTGTTATTGTTCATATTGTTGTTACCTAGAACAAACAGTATTAGACTTAAATAACAAAAATTAATATTTTTGTGCAACTATCACAAATATGAAAATCAATCAAAAATCAATGTCTCACTAAATTTTTAGAAAATGAAGCAGTCCAAATTTTCTGGTTCCTCCACAATCCTCACAAATATGAAAATCAATCAAAAATCAATACCTCGCTAAATTCTTAGAAAATAAAGCAGTCCAAACTTTCCGATTCCTTCACAAATCCTCACAAATATAAGAATTAGTCAAAAATCAATATCTTATTAAACTATCACAAAATAAAAAGTTTCAAATTTCCCAAATTTTCGACAAATCCTCGCATATATAAAAATTAATATTTAAGCGAATTATTACAAAATCAAAAATTTCAACTCCTTACAAATACAAAAATTAGCCAAAAAGGTCATTGAACTCACCACCACGGAAGCTGCTTAAGCTGGAAGTGTTGCTGCTGCTGCTTTCCGGTGGCTTCGGGTTCGCCATCGGGTATCTCCAGAATTCCTGACCCAATAGCGCCAGGGAGGAGAGTTGCTGCCTATTCTTGGCCTCGCGCATCGCCCTTGGCAGTGTCAATTGGACCGGCAATTCGTCACTGTTCCAACCAAGGAAAATAAATAAATTAGAGGGAATTAGCGGTCGAGTATCTCAAACAGGCTAATTAAGATGGTTATACAGTCGATTCGTTCGCTGTGCGATCTAACGAGATACTCTGATACAAACTGATAATGAGGTACGCGTACACTGATCAATTGTTCAATTACGATTCGAATTTAACCCATTAGTACCAAGTGTCCTATTGTAACTTTTTGCAGTATCTGTAAGCAACGCAATGCAAGTCTAAATTCGTTTGTTTACCATGCTGTTAAACGTAAAACGAAAGAAAATTATTTGGGAGTTAATGGGGGTTAAGTAAAGGATAAGGATTAGAATTTTTGAGAAAGGCAATGGTGCCCTTATGCGTTATATGAAATCTTGTGGTTCAGATAAGTAATAAAAGTGACCATTGACATTGAATGCAAGGGTTTACTTCTAAAAAGGATCGGTTTAGAGCAAAAAATTTTGGGTAACATTGATTCCTGAGAGGATTAGAAATTGTATATTGGTGTTCTAACTACGAATTATGTATTTCGAGAATTTTGTGTGTATCATACTTTTTATTTTTTAGATTAAGAGAATTCAATTATTTATATTGCATATTTTACATTCAAGGCGGCCCACATGAAACAGGCAATCTAATTATCTTCTCTATATAGAGGGGTTATTTATAGGGGTGGAGAAATATGTTGAGAATGTATAATGACGTTTTGTGTGCGCTGAGCCTTTGTTCCCGTGTGAGTTGAGGTTGCAAATTGATCGAGGTGTGAGACACGGTTGCAGTAGCAGGAAAAGAACTTTCATATCGTTGAACGGTGATTTTTAAGTAGCAAGATACTTTTATTTCACCGTTCATCTTTGAAACTTGAATGCACACATTGTTGCAGTCTTTATTCTCGAATGCAACATCGATGGAAGCACTATTTCGAATGCAAAACATTGTTTTACGCGTTACTTTTGAATGCAACATTGCTTGAAGCATTATATTTGAACGCAAACATTATTCGAATCTCTATTTCTGATTGCAACATCATTAGAAGCGTTATTTCGAATGCAAATATTATTAGAAGCACTATGCTTGAATGTAACATTGTTACAAGCTTGGTTCTCGCTTGTAACATCGTTAACTCGTATTATTTTCGCTATTATTATTCGCTCCCGAAAATTGCACATTGCTGCAAACGCGTACCGGGTTTGCAACTTTGTTGCCGAAAGTCGCTCCCGAAAATTGCACAATGTTGCAACGCGCTCTGGGTTTGCAAACTTTGTTGCCGAAAGTCGTTCCCGAAAATTGCACAATGTTGCAACGCGTTCTGGGTTTTCAACTTTGTTGCCGAAAGTCGTTCCTGAAAATTGCACAATGTTGCAACGCGTCCTGGATTTGCAACTTTGTTGCCGAAAGTCGTTCCCGAAAATAGCACAATGTTGCAACGCGTACCGGGTTTGCAACTTTGTTGTCGAAAGTCGATCCCGAAAATTGCACATTGTTGCATGATGCGCCGTTTTGCAACAATGTGCAATTTTGGTGAGCGGCTTTCGGTAACAAAGTTGCAAACGCGATTACTCCTTTTGCAACTTTGTGTCGTGGCGCGTCTCGAGAAAAAAAGCACAATGTTGCAACGCGTTCCGGGTTTGCAACTTTGTTGCCGAAAATCTTTCCCGAAAATTGCACAATGTTGCGAACGCGTTCTGGGTTTGCAACTTTGTTGTCGAAAATCGCTCCCGAAAATTCCACATTGTTGCACGATGCACCGTTTTGCAACATTGTGCATTTTCGAGAACGATTCGCGGCAACAAAGTTGCAAGCGCGACATTCCTGTTGCAACTTTGTGCCGCGCGCGCGATTCGCGAAAAAAGCACAATGTTGCAACAGTAATGTACTTTGTGCCGCGCGCGCGATTCGCGAAAAAAGCACAATGTTGCAACAGGAATGTCGCGCTTGCAACTTTGTTGCCGCGAATCGTTCTCGAAAATGCACATTGCTGCACAACGCGATTTCTCGCTTTTGCAACTTTGTAAAACGCGTTATTTTTGAAACGCACGTATTTTCGTTTGTAACGCTGTACGACATGCAAAACATTGTTGTATGCAGTACTTTGTACGCAAAACGCCACAAGCATTTACTTGAACACTTGTGTTCAAATAAAAAAGTGCTAAGCCACATTTTCGACTTATTCATCTATGGATCAAGCAGCTTGTACGAAAGCATCTGTATGGCAAATAACCGTGTTCCTTATTAAAATAAGTTTTGTACTAAGTAGAAATTTCATTCCACTCGAAATGAAATATACTTACAATACAATTGAAACCTCCCAAAGTGTGTTCTCTTCTCTCAAATAAAGTTACCAATCGAATTCTTAGAACCCTCCACCGATTTAACCAGCAAAAACGACACACAGAAATAATAATATGGAAGTTTTAAAACAGTACCGTTCATAATTCTTACCTACCTCTTGTACAATATCTTAAAGCAATTTACGAGTAAATCAGTTTCCACGTCCATTCGATTCACCCTCGTGAGCAGCCGGGAATCGATCGCGGGCACCCTAGACTATACAGCTATGATTGTACCAAAAAATGTTTATACGCAATTTAAATGTTTTCAAAGGATGTTCAAGGTGGGAGAAAATTTTTTTTATAAATGCCATTTTTTGTTTTTTTTCAAGGTCAACTGTTTTTTTTGTTCCATGAATGCATATTTTCTTTAACACGATTTTTAAACATGCCTAATAATATGACCTTAAAACGAACTTGGACTTTAAAATTTTTGAGCATATGTGAAACTTCCTTTCATCTTTTGTCATTTTCTCCATCAAACAAATTTTTCTTTCATTTCATTTACCCTTTGAAATTATTTAAATTACATATGAAAATTTTCTCGCTTTTTACCGCCATAGCTATTTAGCATAGGTAATTATGTGCTCCACCTTGTAAATGTATTTTATTTTTGTCAATAAATTACGTTATTGTATTAACATAAACATAACATAAAAAAGACTGTGTGCAGATGTTTCTTTTCACAAGTTATGGCAGTATTTACAATTCAACCGAAAAATTTACTTAGGAACAAAGAATATGAAGGAAATTCTCTCATATATATTTTGCTTAAACATTGTATTAAAAAGAAAATTTCTACTCTTACAACTTTTACTCTTCTATATAGAATAGAAAGTATTAAAACACAGTTTCCGAGTTCCATTAAAGGAAGGAAATTGAGGTACTAATATCTGTGGATTTTCCCTAAAGATTTTTGCGTGCTCCATTCTACGTAATCGCGCGTTGAAAACGAACGTTAACATTGATCGAGCTTAACGTAAGATCGAAGCTAAATAGTCTAGCAGAACGAGTACCACTGATCGACGGTAAAAGTGAAATTTCTGCAACAATTACAAATTTAATCATTTCGTAAACAATTATACGTTGGTGTTTCACCTACTAATTAACTCATCCGTTTACATTCACGAATATGAAAAGTCCAGTGATTATCATTTTAATGGCTACTGTAACAAGATAATTCGTAGCGCTAACAAACCAGTGATTAAACACATCATAAATCATGTGCAAAACGTCCTACTCTCATAATCGCTAAAAAATAGGGGAGAAAAAAGAGAGAGAAGAAAAAAGATAGAAACAAGCAAAACTGAGTAGCTTGAAACGGTGTAGAGTTATCAGATCGTATCGGCGGAACGATACAGAGGTAAACGGCCGTGACGCTCATGAATCATTAATCGGGCCCATTAAAAGGAAAAACGGCGCCTCGATTATCACGAAAACCAGGGTCTTAATAGCGCGAACGCGGCTTTCCAATGTTCCCATTAACCGCCTAAATTATCTCCGGATACGATCCAGCGGCGACTTTCACCTCGTGCCTCCGTGCATTCGCATATACTTGAGGAATTCGATAAATTATGCAACGCCACCGATCGCTACTTATGCTCACAGCCTTCTAATTCTTTACTGTCATCTTTCCTTCGATTTTCATTCGAGCTTTTAGCGTGGTTTAAGAAGGGGAAACCCCAGACGAACGCGAAATATTCGCGGGGGCAGCGGCAGCGAAATTCGGGCGCAAGAGCGCCCTGTTTTGCCCTGCGAGCAGAGCCGTGAACAGTGGGCGGAGCAAATGACGTCGAGAGTCGTGACAGGAGTGGGGAGGAAAAACGGTAGTGGTGGGGGTGTAGGCTCGTAGGTAGACATGCGTTGGTATATTCGTAAGGCGTATCGTACTATTAAAACTTGTAAATGTACCTTGAATAATAGAAGACAACAGTACCTACATATACACAAATATCACTGTTAGATACTGGTACAACGCAGTTGTCGAGAATCTCAAGCAGATGATACGCCTTTGTAGGAACAAATGAAGCAAACTACATTTTTAGATCCTATTAATAGATCATCGCAGATTACTTTTTAGAATGATAGATATTTATATTTTCTGATAAAATTGGATATTCTGTTGTTGATTTATAATGCGATTTTTCACATCTGGATCATTATCTAAATTCAATTTTGCCCCGTTAGATTGTTAAAATATCACACTGTGCACCGGTTACTTTCTTCGGCACATGCCTATCTTTGAAGCTTAATTCTCATTCTTAGACCAGGCGATTACTGCTATACAGGGTGTTTCATAAATGCATGTTAATACTTCAGAGGGTAAGTCTACATACTAAACCAGTAAAACATGTCATATGGACATATGTCCTATATACTTTAGTTTTTGAGATATACAGTATGTTCGGTTTATCTCAGAACACGAAAGTATCTCGAAAACTACGAATTATACAAAAAAATATTTCAGACAAAAGTTGTAAGGAATGAGGCCGATATATTGTTCTGGTATTTTTTTGACCTTGCAATGATTTTGAAAAGCTCTGTAAAGGTCATGTTCAAGTCTTTAAATAAGAACGCATATTTTTGATGCCCGAAGTTTCATCTGTTTCATATCGATAGACATTGTTTATAAACATTAGATAAGACCAAGACGAGGTGGGCACTTCGAACATTTTCTTTAATTATTCTTAACTCGAAAACTAAGGTATATCAGACATATGTCCATAGGATACTTTGTACTTGTTTTAGTGTGTAGATTTACCCCCTGCAGTATTGACACGCATTTATGAAACACCCTGTATATATATAATACATATTCGTACAGTTCTCCCTCCACAGGATCGCTCCCTGCTCCGATTTGTCCGACCACCTCACATAGAGTAATTTCGTGAGCGGTCCTGCTTTATCGGTTGCAATTCACCATAAAATTTCGCGAGGCTGTAAAGCTCGTTTACGCAAACTCGTTTAAACGGACATATTTGTCTGAAATTAACGAGAGCAAACTTGTTTCGTATGGAATACTGTTCGAGGTTTAATCAGTAACAGATATATTTTCACAATGCTTGTTATAAAGGTGCACGTTTGATGTGTCTGCGCGTTGCCAAGAATCCTATTTTTATAATAAATTTCTGGTTTCGAGTGTGACCAAGGGTGGCGAATCCAAGACTAGCTAGCGCAAGCTCGCTACTTATGCTCGCAGCCTCCTAATTTTCATTATGATCTTACTTTCAATTTTTATTTGTGCTCTTACTGTGGTTTAAATTCGAAAAAACGGAAGGAGAAGGATCTTTGCGATGAAACTATTGGAAGGATGTTTAGACGATTCGTCGATCGCTACTTATGCTCACAGCCTTCTAACTTTCACTATGATCTTTCTTTCTTTGTGCTTTTAGTGTGGCTTGAAGTTGAAAAAAGCATAGGGAGCTGGTTCTTTGCAATGAAACGACTGAAAGAAGATTTAGAAGATTCTTCGAAGAAGAGGAAAGATCAGTGTTAATAAATTTCACGTTTAAGGAGGAAGTCGCGATGTTGGCGGGGACGATATCAGATCGAGTAGAAGGTGAACGTGAAGAGAGGCCACTCACCAACACTGAGAATAGTGGGCGATCAACGAGGGGATGTTGTCGAACCTGTTCTCGCTAGTTTCCAAGCTCAACTTCCCCCTGTTGGCTTGGATCAGGTAGTGCTCGATGTATGGTCCCCTTCCTGGTGGTAGCCGCACAGACAGGGCCATCGTGTCGCTCTGACTTGACTGTCGAACCACGAAGTTCTGCAAAAAAAAAAAGGTTAGAAATTGGAAATTATTGGAAAATTCGAAATTGAAGAATTTTGGTCACCGGTCAATTATGGGATAGTTAGGATTATATTAGATTGCTGAATAAGTGTGCCGTGTCTCGGTTTTAAACAGCTGTATATTTTGCTGTATCGAATTATTCCTTTTCCTTTTTATAATTAATTTGGGTGCGAATTGTAATTGAGAGCACTTTGGAACCGATCGGGGGAATATCGAAATGCTGTCCGACTGTATCGATACTTGTGACTCTTCGGATTTCTCAGGGATGAATTGTTCGATTGGAAATTTGGTGGAAGCTTCAGTTTCTTCAGACACGTTGTTGTGGATACTTATTAGATCGCTGCATAAGATGTACGTCTTCTATAAACTCGATTATTCAAAACAGCTTATACTTACATTAGATCGCTGCATAAGATGTACGTCTTCTATAAACTCGATTTTTCAAAACAGCTTATACTTACATCGAACTTTGTATTTTTCATTATTGTTTGACAATTTCTCAACTATGTGGAAGTTGCATTATGCCTCTTTCATAAAAATCTTCGGATTTATCAGTAAGAAAAGAACTTACTGCACTATTTGAATTGTTTCGTAGTTATCGGAAAATGTGAAAATCTGTTGGTAACAGATCCAGGAAATATCGTGCATAAGGAATAAGTTTCCATTGTAGTTCCGATATTTTTCTTTTGCGATGCCATCGCCACGTGTGGTACAGGACGCCCTTTCGATTCTCAAGGAATGGTCTTTTACGATTCCTTTATGATTCTTCTTGCTAGTTTCTGAAGGACGTTGCCCGGGATTTGACCAATGCCTTTCCCTCGTTACATTATTGTACAAAACCCACTTTTCATCTACCGTGACCAGACGATGCAAAAAATCTTCGTGAACTTGTCTAGCATGAAGCGAAACACAGACAGAAACGCGGTACAGAAAATTTTTCAGTGACAGTTCATGTGGTATCGTATTATAATTTAAACTATAAATCTACTTTTGTGGAGATCCTTTACAACACTTGAATTGTGAATTCCAAGCTCAGATGCAGTGCTACAGATAGTCAATTCTAGATTTTCTTTAACTAATTTAGATATTGATAGATTATTTGTAAGAACGAAATGGCGGAGGAAACTTCTGCAACAACCTAATATTTCCTTTTTATTTTATTAAAAAGTGTGATGATTATTTCGTTAGTTGAATCCTGGGTATTCTCCAAAATACAATTTATGCAATGAGCTACTAATAATTATTGAGAATTGCTGTTTTTAAATTAAGGGTAGCTAAAGTCTGTACCTTATGCTCTGGAAGTTTTTAAAGTAAAATTCTTTGATATAAAAGACATTGCAAATAAATGCATTAACATTTATGTATTCACAATTTTTTTAAATAAGAGTTACAAAATAAATTACATTCTGGACTTATTGGAAATAAATATTCTTTTACGTATCCGCAATTTACTTCGATTTGGTGGATTTGGGTAATAAAAAATTTCGTCAATTTCTAACTTCTTTTCTGGAAATTTTTGCGCAACTTGCAATGCGTAGCAATCCGAAACTTTCAGCTGGTAGCATATATTCACCGCTCAAAGGGAAGAATAAATTACCGTGCCCCATTCTTCCCGATAAGAACGAACTCTTTGCGCCGTCACGAGTAACCTACTTGCCGAACTGTTCCCAGAAGCTATGTCAACCACGCACTACAACTCCCTTTTCTCAACAATAAATTCCCCTTACCACGGTAAAAACAAAAATCCATCATATTTATCACTGAATTCGAACTTAAACTGGGACCATGCACAAACAGCAATACTCTTGTGCAAGCCTACTTCCATTTCTCCTTTCATTTTACTCTACTTAACCTGGTTCCACGGAGGTGCATAATGCAAACGGAACGAAACAAGAAAAGATGCTTATTATTATCCGCAGGCTTTCTTATTCCTGTTCCGCTTTATAAATTTTCGCGAAACCCTTAAATCCTCGCGTCGAGAAGAGAGGAATAATTACTTATGTCGAGGGAAAAGAGGAGAAAAGCTGGGATACAGCGTAGAACCGAGACACGTAAAACACGTTACCTAATAAAAGAAGAAAAGTAGCTTATATTAGGTTAGTCTGAAAGTTCTCGCGGTTTTAAGCCGTTCATTTCGAGAGAAAAAAAAAACGTAACTCCACTGAAATGAAATATTCATATTGAAAAGAAATTTCATAATGTTCGACACGTTCTTGCCAAGGTATTAAAAGAGTATTAATTCCGCGTATATGAAAATCCGAATCTCTGAATCTCCCCGATCTAAACCTAGTTTACACGCGAAAAAAATCCTGCTCACAGTTTGATGGTCTACTTCAGAATTAATTCCCAAGACCGAGTACCACTATCACTGCAGAGCCGTACAGTATCGAACTGGAGATTCATCTCCAACCAATTTTCACTTTTTCCGCTCACTTGACAATTTCCTTACTCAAAAACGATTTAGGAAACAGGAGGATGTTGAAAATGCCTTTCACCAGTTTTTTTCTCTTACAAATTCGAATTTTCATGTCCTCAGAATTAATGCTCTTGTAATACGTTGGTAAAAGTGTATCGGACATTATGGAAATTATTTTCAATAAAAATATTTAATTCCAAATGTGGAAACTTTCAGGATGATCCAATGCAAAACAATACAATTGTACAGCGAATATTTATTTATTTGCTTTTTATTTTCTGTACTGTTCCACGGCTGTTCCAGTCGGAAATCCACGTCCGCGTCAATGGAGCGCGCGTTTTCCACACGCGAGTGACGTTCAAGAGGGGCAGAAATGGACAAAGCGGAAAAGAAGAAAGGTAGGAAAAAGGCAGAGTTTCTTTATGCTCCACTCGCTTCTCCCTCCCTGGTCTCTTTTCTCTTTTTTTCGGGGAGGGACAAAACCTACAAAGACTACGAGGAGGCAGAGCTGGTTTTAATCTCTGAACCGATGCTTTTCCTCTTTGTTCGTGGATTGGAAAGGTGGATACGGGCTGAAGGTTGCTGGCCTGCTTCTGTGAGATTCTAGGTTAGATTGCTGATCATTTGGGAATTTTTTCTCAGAGGTATAATTGGGGTAAGATGGAATGTTTCAATGAACATTCTGTTTGTGGGGGAATAAAAAATTGAAAAGATCCCATTCCGCATAACATCGAATTTAGTTAACTCAATGCCAAGAGGACTTGTGGAAATTACAAAATCAAAAGTTTAACTTTAAGTTAAGTTTGCTTGAGATACCCGGGTATCTCACGGGGACTCGAATACAGTAATAGCAATAGCTATTAGTTAAAAGTAATAGCTCCAATACAAGCAGACTCGCGATTTCTATCCGCGTAAACGGAGGGATCGGTGTACTTCTAAAAACCCGCCCCATTTTCTCAAAACTTCAATCACCTCCCCATTTCTAGCCGCGCACATTCATCGTCAGCCACTAGAAGCTTTCATTCGTCCATCATCCATTCGCGGCGTATCGACACCGGTCGCGATAATTTCAACTCGAAACATCTCTCCACCTCTTGGTTTCGCGCAATCACGGGGGTGGCGAGGGAGGAGAGGCGTCTATAGTCTATGGAGAAGTAATTGCGAGCCGCATTGTTTTTCGGGCCTGTGCAATTCGTCCGTGGGCGCGGGGGGGTGGGCACAGGACGATTAACAAAGCTGGAAAACAATGAGCCAGCGGGGAAACAATGCTTCAGCAATGGCACGGCTCGTTCGCTGCCGTTTCTCCTCCTCTTCCCGCTGATTACACTGCTCCGCGTCGCGTACACCTCCTCTCCACCCCACGCTTTTCCCGTTATTTCAGGAAAAAGAGAGCTGAAAATATAGAGAGTTCGTCTCTCTGGGAAACGGGACGTTCCTTTCGTTGATGCGTAACGTCACGTTGCTTCGAGGTTTGTTGAGGCTTTTTCTCTCTCTTTTTCCCCTTTCTTCTTTTCTTGCGTCTGGTTGTTTTCGGGAAAATGAGCCGCGACGTGACTTGAAATGGGTCGTTTTTCTTTTTTTTTCAAATTGAAAAGTTCAAATGGTGAACGATGTTAATTCGAAGTATAAACATTAGTTATAAACATTACACGAAGTATCGATTTTGTATAGCGTTTGAATATTTTTCCTTCTCCTTTGACTTTTAATATTGTTTAATTGTATCAAGTTAATTAAATAAGTTACACGTATTTTTAAATGCAATACATAATCTATTAATAGAGACAATTTCGAGTTTATTTCCTCCGTAATTAATGAAGATATAGAGCATCAGAGTCAAACGTACACGTTAATTTCCGAATACTTTTGGACTCATTGTTAGTGCCAGAAATGAAAATTTTCAGTATAAACAAAAAACATATGTTTGTTCATGTCGGCATTTACATCGTTTATCACTTGAACGCTATAAACTTTCAGCGTTTATCGTCTTTACAGGTTTGGAGGTAAAATAGACCGTAAAAATTTATGGGATCATTTAAACTTATTTATTTGTACACTCTACTTGCAGTATCCTACTAGGTTATTCTGAAAGTTCCAGAGCAATATAACTCCATTAAAACTAAACATTTTTATTAAAAATAAGTTCCATAATATTTGGTAGTTTTATCATACTTTTACAAACGTATTACGAGAGCATGATTTCCGCGTATGTAAAAATCCGAATCTCTAAGAGAAAAAAACTGCTAAAAGGTGTTTTCAATATCTCGCTGTTTCCTAACTCCTTGTTGCGTAAGGAAATTGCGAAGGGAGCGGAAAAAATGAAAATCGGTTGGAGATAAATCAGAAGAACACGGGGGATGAGGTAGAACTTCAATACTCAGTTTATGCAATTTATGTACATACAGTTGTGCTTGTTACGTGCGGTCTGGCGTTGTTATGTAAAAGGTTAGGGCAGTGCCGTTCAGTCATTGCCCGCATGGGCAGCGTATTAGGTTTCCCCGGTCGTAAACAAATCGGCGGGCAATAAGCCACGCCCTCTCGGGCAACGGTGGGCGTACGTATG